CCATAGAGGAGGTTAGGTCCCCCCACTTAAATCATGTTCACATGGATAGGAAACTAAATTGCACACATCTTGTGTCCATATCTTTCTGTTTTGGTGGTCATGCCACAACTGTGCACGTGCATGCATGCGCGAATCATGGTAAAATATCTGGATTAAGAGGTTGCTTTTTCTTTGCACATCATGAAAGAAAGGCCAAATGAATGGGATGTGATTTTAGTATTTTTAAGCAGACGGCCCTCGGAGGATGTTGAAAACATTTAAATGGCCCTTGAGAGGAAAAAGGTTCCCCACCCCTGCTTTAAACAAACAGATATATATGTAAAAGTACCATGTGTACAAACGATATAACTTATTCTCTTCTGTTGAACATGTTGGATTGTGTATTGTCCGAGTCAGGGTCCTTTTTATTTTACTGTAACTTTGGAAGTTGTGTTACCAATGCTTACTGTTTATTTGATACCAATTTGGTAATGCAATTATTAAAAACAACAAGGTTTGGGTTCGTTCTTCAGATGACTGTGACGTTAACGTGTAAGCACAATAATGAACTCCAGCTCAACCAACCATATTGTAATATCTAAGTAATCATCTTGAAATATGACATTAATAATTGTAATATACACACATCTTATTGTGAGGATGATTTCACATACACTCAGGGACGTGCACAGGTACGGGCTAATGTTGCCCGGGCAACGGCCCGTTTGGCCTTTTTGGCTGGCCTGCCCCTCTGGAGAGAGCGAGAGTTTCTTTTTCTTTTTTCTGTTGTGGCCGAATCAACATAATAAGCAGGGGTGCACATAACTTTTTTGCCCTGGTTCTCAAAGGAGCACCTGGAGATGTTACTTGGTGCTCATCCTTAAAATGAAATAAACCGTAACTTTTGAGGGGCTCTTGACTTTATTTGCCAGACACACGGCACAGAACACACATGCAGAGGTGAACACAAGACATTAGCATTAGCACGACCAGTAATCCTACAAGCTGTCATCACTACCCTCCTGACTGTTCTCCTCACTGTCTTCCTCTCTGTCAGACATGGTAGCTGATGATGTAGGCCTACTTCTTTCTCTCTGGTTGAGTCTGCGATTAGATGCTTGCATCCACAAGTCAACAGCTGGTTTTGGGTCGAAAGTCTCTGTTGTCATCTTAGACAAGTGGATGTAATCAAATAAGTATATGTGAACATAACCTACCATAGCCAATAACAAATGAATGTAACTTATTTTATTTGTGTTGTTCATTCATATCTTATTTTACCTTAAAGGGGACCTATCATGCAAAATGCACTTTTGTACGTCTTTCATACATGAATATGTGTCCCCGGTGTTCCAGGGAACTCACCAAGTGTCAGAACACACAACCCTCTCTATATTCCTCCATACCCAAATCTCTAAAAAAGGAGCTGCAACGGATCTGATACAGACTGATCCAGATTTGAAAACTGTCCTTACGTCAGGACGGTGATGCTACGGCTATTGGTCAATTCTCCACCTATCAGGAGAATGAGAGGTTAGGCCACGGCCATCTCACGCTCCATTGTTCCCTCACTTGAGAACAAGTTTAACTAATTAGTTAGTTTATTTAAGGTAATTAGTTAGAGGCCCTATTTTATCAGTAGGCTATGTCTGCACAGCAGTTACAATGGTCAAACTACATTAGAACAGAATTGTCGCCATTTTGTCTTTAATAGTTACTAACATTAGATATTTTTGATGAGATATGGACCGCAAAACAAAAAATGTCCCTGGTTTTCATTTTTTAAATCAAGTTACCGAATGCAAGTAGTCGCCTTAGCATATTTTGTTATGAGATGTGAATTACTGTTCAATTTAGTTGAAGTTAATTGTTTGGTTTCTTTTACATTAAAAACAAGTTATAATTTTCAAAAGGTCTTATTTATCGGGGGGAGGCCCTTTTTCCAGTTTAGAGCAATAGCCCCTCCAAATGTCTGTGCACGTCTCTGCATACACTACTTTGACGTTAGCTTGTCTTCATACTTGAGCATAGCCAATTTAAATTAACCTTAGCGATGCATACAGTTCCTACCTACATAATAAAATATCTCTCTAAGTTACAAGGATGACCTTATTTGACCAACCTCAGACAGAAGCTGTTTGTTCTACAGTATTATCCCACTTAACGCTTAACACTTGTCTATTTAGTTTGAACCTTTATATATTAGGGATGGGAACGATTAATCGAATATTCGAAATTATTCAGGTTTCCAATATGAGTTATGAATATTTTTTATTGTAATTTTTATTTTTTTGGGAGGGGTGCCTAAGTTGATTACATATGATCAAATGGAATAATTGAATGTATACGACAGTGCCATAGCTAAATGTGTTAGGTCTAAAGCTCACCGGTCCCTCACAGCGGGCAGAGCTGCAGGTGCTGATCTCTCTCTCTCGCGTCCGGTTATACTTCACTCGCGTTTATGTCCAAATCCATCAGATCTAGCTAGTTCTAGCTAATGATATGGCTGCTGCCCCTCCCTACACACAGATCACGCAGACTCAAACCTCATCTTATGCCCAAATTCCAGCTGAGAGGGTCTTCTCTACAGCTGGCCTGATTGTGAATCGTCTCCACACCCGCCTCTCCCCTGAGTAGACATGCTCATATTCTTAAACAAGAATGAGTATTGAATATCTGCATTCTGTGCATAGGCCCTGTTATAGGTTGTTGATCTCTGTTGGAATTGGGTTACGTTACCCTAACCCGTTATGTTCTTCGTGTATGATCCCTCTTTCATTTAAAAACCAAGTTATGTTTTAAGCATGAAAGCTACATTTGACAAATTTCACTTGGTTTCTATACTTATTTGAACATGTATTTATTTATTTTTCCCACATTTAATTTTTTTGACAGGATATGTACATTTCGGTTAATCGGTTAACCATTTTTTGGGGGGTCGAATATTCGAATATATCAATCAATCAATCAATCAATGTTTATTTATATAGCCCAATATCACAAATGTTACATTTGTCTCAGTGGACTTTACAGTTTGTACAAAATATCAGTATGACAATATGACACCCTCTGTCCTTAGACCCTCACATCGTACAAGGAAAAACTTCCAAAGAAAACCCACAGTTTAAAGGGAAAAATGGGAGAAACCTCAGGGAGAGCAACAGAGGAGGGATCCCTCTCCCAGGACGGACAGACGTGCAATAGATGCCGTGTGTAAATTGAAAAGATAATACATTTGCAACATAGGTAGTCCAAATGTTTGGAAATGCATGTGTGTATAATAGGAAAATGAATCCACGAGGATATCCATCCAGGACCTATGATCCAGGACCACAGCCACGACTCAAGATCCAGGGCTCGCGATCCAGGACAGAGGAGCGCAGGATCATCCATGACTCCGGATCCCGGCGTATATAGACACCAAAAAGAAAGACATTTGGGGAAGCTGGGTTAATCGGAACATGAGAGTACACAGGTATAGACAGAGAGAAATATACATTTGCTTTCAAATTCCCATCCCTATTATATATACAGTCTATGGTTTTAACTTGGAGGCTACGATTAGCATCGTTAGCACCGATGTAGCTACCACTCGCTTACACGCTAACCCTTAACATTAATTACATAGCTGATTAAAATCATAAACACATGAATAAAGTACTCGAATTTCACTTACCGCAAAACCGCATTCATGCACCGTCTGTTTTAACCGCAGAGCGAGTCACAATAGTCCGATATATAAGCATGAAGAACAAACAAACACGGCCAGGTTCAAGTTGTGTTCCCTGGATGAACTGACCAGGCAGTGTCCCTGTTGCACGCATCACGGAGCCAGAGAGACAGGAAGCTTACAGCAGCAGTCACTGGACAGAGCTGTCACTCAATGCGACCACGCCCTAATTTATGCAAAAACGTTAAGATCTAATATAAATAAAAGGGTCATGTTATAAAACAATTCACTCAACAATTCATAATCATGAAGGTGGAATCTAACTATATCCCAAATAATTGTTATTATTATTATTTATTATTGTACATGTTTATTTCTGCTGTAAAGTTGGGCATTTTAACATGGGGGTCTATGGAAATTGATCCTTTCTGCAGTCATCGCCTATCGGCCAATAGATGAACTGCAGTTTGTGGCACTTCCTTATTGGCCTCCCGGCTCTGCCCCAGAGCTTGCCGCTTGGTCCCTACCAAACATTCTATGGTGTCTCCTTGTGTTTTTGTTTGTTTCTTAACAAATGTAAAGAGAATTACCAATAATTATTTTAAATAGACAGTGATACTCTAGCTGGCCTGTGCAACACAGTCTTTATTGTTGGTTTGTTGTGCTTATGTGCATGTTGGCTCAACATAGTTAGCTGAGGCATTTTAATCGAACAGAGAAATTATTAGCATTGTTTATATTATTAGCTATAACTTAGCTGTTAGCTATAACTGAGCATTTTCTGTTCTTGTTAGTCTGAATGTTATGACTAATGCCTATATGAATATGTTAGCCAGTAAGTTTAGTTTTAACTACTTTTTTGTTGAGTATCACTCATTTGAGGAAACATAGACAATGATAGTTATAAAAGGTACACTGAGTTCTGGCACTCATGCATGTCAGGTGCCAGCTGGATAAGCAAAGTTGTACTTATTAAAATATTAAGAAAACCTTGGCTATTAACCCAGCCTTTAATGGCCCTGTTCCATTTAATTGGCAAAGAAGAGGCATTGTTAATGTCATAAGTGATAATGATTGGTTCTATCAACTCATAATGTTATAAAAAATGCCTATGTTTATATTTATGTACTCTTAATCAAGGAATAGCAAGAGCTTGATGTCCAATTGAACAGCAGAACTTGGCAAAATCAATACATTTGAGTTGATTTTTTCTTTCTGTAATAAAATGTGGTCCTCCAAGGCTGCAATCTGAAACATCACTCACCTTGGATATCATTTGTTACTTTTGTATTTTGCATTTATTGGAACATATCTGTGATACAAAACAGTTTGTAAGGGAAGGTGTTCACCCTCAGATCTCGATTACTGTGCAGCCGTTGACAGTGTCTGCCTCCACCTCCACATCTAGGTTTACCAAGGTGACTTCTGGGAGAATGAGTATAGCTTTAACACTCCTAGCCTCCACACTCTGCTCCTCTTCCTGGTCACAGAGTCGATCAGAGGTAGGGTCATAGTGAAAGAAAGGACTAACGATCATGTGATTGTTGTTCTTGTTTTCGTTGCCACAACCAATGTGATTTTGCTTTTTTGCCTGTATGCGTCTGATCACGAGTACACTGCATATGAGCAATATCAGCAAGCAGGACAAGACGATAACAGCTGCCTTCAATGTCCTGACAAGAGTGCTAGGGTCCTGAACCTGGACGAAGTACTGGACCACCATCTTCCGGTGCACTTTACCCTTTACTGTTTCCACTGTCTCACAGGTGTAAATGCCAGACTCAGAATAGGAAGGTCTGATGATGAGTCCCAGGCTCAGTACAGTGTGTCGGGGACCTGGAAGGAGGATGCTGTCCGAGAGGCGCCAGCTGATTGGGAGGTTTGTTTTAGGGGAACATGGAAGGAACTGCGCTATCCTGATGTTCAGGTGGACAATGGGATGTTTCTTTTTCACTGAGGAAGATTACACCAGATCACCAACAGACTTGTTGCATTTCTATGTTTCCTAAGGGTTTTTTTGTATGTGTCTTATCATATGAATAATCTGTTATCAACTTTGAACCATAATGTCAATGATAAAACATGTATTAGTGTTTGACTTACAATCAGAAATGGGGCACATCTGGAGGTCTCCATCAGTCAAACTCTGAATTCTGCAAGAAGAGAAATTATTTCTTCATCACTTTATCAATAATATAAAACAATGGTGGCATACTCTGGTTCTGACAAGTGAAACATATGTAAAAGTAACCTAAGTCTTTCTAATGGCCAGCAGTGTAAAACTCCTCCAGATTTATAGAAATCAATAAGAAATGATTGTACTTTATTAATTTGCATCTTTGAAGTTAATTCTAGCATTTTGGTCACAACATTTATTTTTTCCATCTTCATGCATCACAGCTGGTTCAAGAAAAACACAAGATGGCAATGGACAAATGCCAAACTAAAGGTTTCTAAACCGTAGTCCACGCACCAATGAGTAACTTCATGGTGATTATACAGTCTATGGTAATAATTGACTATTGAAAGTAAAACAATACAAGAGTTTTCATTTACATAGACTTAAGAAATGCGCCGACAACCGACACACACTGGCCGCTGATCATGTCCCAGCCACAGTAAGGGTCTCTGGCAAGAAGGCAGTCATCGCATGATGTGTAGCGGCTGCAGTCCCTTACATTAACTTGAACAGCAACGCCATTGGCACCACCGTACAATTGGCCCTGCAGAAACAATAGTTCAGGACTGAGTTTTGAGACTCCCTAAAAGTTGTTCAAGTCTCAAGGAATCAGGGTATTTCACATTTTTTAATTAGAATTTTGAAACAACTCTAGGGACTTGGGCCCTACCGTTTTGGAAGACAGCTGGAGAAAGTTGACAGGCTGAGGAGTTGGAAACACTTGCAGCTCCTCGATGACGCGGCCTTCCTCACCATCAAACCTCACTGCCTTCTGAAGCCAACCAGACTCTATTGGAGATGAATTACATGGATTGAATAAACCAAAGCATTTGTGTTATTGGGTTGGATAAAATGTCTGCACAAGCTTGTTACATACCTGTGCCAATAAACATCACTTGATGCAGTTGTCCATCAAGTGATGTGACTTGGTCCACTACAATTTTGGAGAAAAGTGTCCCAATGCGGACCAACAGAGGCTTGCCAGTGATTGGTGTGACAGCCCCTTCCATCAGAGGGTGGTTCTTCACAAACAGCAGAGTTTTGTCTGAGAAGTCGAGAGAGGTCATCACACCTTCCGCCCGCAGTTCATCGTTAATGCACTGAAAGAACGAGACCGAATCTATATGATAAACCCTATTAATTATGTGATTTATTGTTCTATGCTTGATACTTACTGAACCAGGGTGAGGGAATGGCTCCTCTCCTGCGTATGTGTCCCAGCTCCCAGTATCACTCTCAGTCAAAAACCTACCACTGAACACCCGGCTAATGTCGGAGAGCTTGTAGGCACAGACAGCAGACTGACTGCAAGCACCTGAGGACTCCCTGTGACAGATACAGAAAGGATTTCCAGGTATTTTCTATTTCATTTTTCATGTATAACTTAATCTATACTCTTTATACAGTCCAAGCAATGACTTACGAGTAAATGGTGAACGTGGCATAAAAGATGCTATCCCTCCAGTCTTTTTGGTCTTGGAGAAGGAACGCGTCCTGGACCAAGGATGGGGAGCCAACATTGCCAAATGGACAGTCCAAACGGACCTTTAAGAAAGAAGTCCATTTTCCCTGCAGGGTCCTTTGGCCCCCCATGTCACTCTAAATCATCGTTATAATTACCATTAGCTTAATTTTCATTTATGGATATGTTGAGCTATAGTGCAGGTGTTTTAAGTTTCTCAATCGGATGAATTTACAGACGGACCTTACAGACACGGGCAATTCTTGACACCTGTATGTTGCCATGACGTTCCTCTACAGCGTTCTCAGTGAAGAACAACACAACAAAGTCGTCTATACCGTCCTCACTGTTTTTGCTTGCTTCAACGAGGCTTAAGGATATCATGGTAGGCTCTAAAAACGGAAGCATACAAGGTCGGAAAACAAAAGACTCAAGTGTGTACGATGATGAACAGAATAAAATGTTGCATGATTCTGTTTAGTATGTAAGAGCAACTTGCCATTGAACCAGGAGAGTAACATTTCAGTCTTGAGAGGGTTCAGTCCATGTCTCTGAAACACCAGTTCTGTGCCAAGAAAGTTTGAGGAAGCGGCCGAGTAGAAAGTGTTTCCTGTCAAGTTAAAACAAAACAGTTGTGCGTCATTATTTTTGTCAAAACTCTAACAAACGTTGCATTTTTTCTGACCCTAACCTTACTACAACCAGATAGTTATCTCAGGAAAGCAGTCATACAAAAAACTGAAATAAAGTGTTAGAAAATCTGTAAACAGTTATGCACTTACCATTCATTAGGGTGACAAAGTGTTGGTGAGGGTCAAAGGGAACTTTCCCCCTACTCACCTGCTGATTTCCCTCAAGGGACACATTTCCATTTGTGAAAGTCTGTTGAAGCAAATGTTAATGTCTGTGGGACTGTATTAGCTGGCTACACCAGGCCCTCAGAAATATTGACCTTTGACCTCAGTCGCAAAATGGCAGTCAGACCGAACACCGAGATGTTCCAAAATGTCTCTCATAGTTGCCGCAGTTCGGGACATTTACGTACCTGCTTATTGCCAGTCATCGTTGTCATTGAATCTTTTTTGATATGATTTGATCAAAAACATGAATTGGAAGTGTATAGACATCCCTTAATCCAATATAACTACTTAATTAAACAGAAACAGCACACAACAAAGCACCTGCCTTCATAATCTCAGTATATTAAATGTTTTGAAAGTTAAATAAATTGACTTACCAAGTAGTCACATGCAGGGTTGAAAGCATTTGTCCCACACACTAGCATTTTACCATCCTCCAGTGTCTGTAGAGTCCGAATTAAGTTATCACATTCCTGTCGCAAGAACAAAAGTGATTAAAATGAAACTTTATAACCTGGGATGTTGGGAAATATTGCACTTACTTGCATTTTACTTCTCAGCATACCTTAGTGTCCTTTCCTTTCATTTGACAGAGGGCTTTGTCTGCTGAACTGACCGTCCATTTGGCCTGGAAGAAAAGAGAATACGGGATGACCAAGAACATCTTTAATACTTAATATAAGAGCAAATATAAAGAATTCTCGTGGTATTAGTAGTTAAAATAGTACGTGATTCCTATGCCAGCAGATTTGTTGAAAGCCGTGTTATTTATTTTGTTCTTTTTTTGGTGTGGTATGTACAAATCTGAAGGTCTTACCTCACTGGTCTTTTGGGTGATGTCATCCAAGTTGAGTGTGAACACTTTCCCTCTGGCTCCGACCACAAGCTGGCCGATATCATCTCTTATCATCAAAGAGCTCAAGCTGCTAAAACCGGACTCTTCGAACTGCTTCAAGTTCATGTCTAAACCACAGAAAAATACAGGGAGCTGAAGGTTTTCAGATCTATTTATGCTCAAACAGTTCAGTTGTTCAATGTTCAATTGTCCAACTGTATAGCCTGTAATTTAAATGTATTTATCTAAGTAACCTTGCTTATCTTGCTTACAGTGCAGACGCTTTTCTGCTTGCTCTTGCCTCTGCTTACTTTTTATGCTGATTTTCCTATTCTTATTCTCTGAAAACTTCGAGCAGCGGCTCCTGGACATTAACTTATCACTGGGACAGTTAATCTTCGTAAATAGACGGAGGGTTTCAGCCATATTTTAAAAAAAATACGACGACCTCAGTCTTACAGTAGCGTGGCCTAGCAACAGCTAAAGCCTGGTAGGCTACTGCATGCTATTTAGCTTAAGCTAGTTGGTAGCAAAATGCCTCCATTCTCTACAGATGACTTCCACAAACTTATACAGAAGATGGCTGTGTTGGAAATGAAAATGCAACAGTTGGAAGTTAACGTGGAAGTGAATGGACTATGTCGTGGGAATGACACCACTTTACCAGTGTTGCAAAATAATGGAAAAGGGTATGGTAACTCACAGCTAGTTAGCAGCTACAAGGATTCCAAGGAACAGGAGGGCTGTATACCGGGTAATAAATCTACAAGTGGTAGTCCTCCCTGGAACTCTCTGGGTGCAAAGCCTAAGGGTAAATCATTTCCATGGGATTTGGGAGGACGGATAACAGGCAGAGCCCAGCGCTCTGAAATCTGTGATGCGACCGGCTGGCCTGCATTGTTATCACCCAGCAAGAGCGCCTCTTCAACCCCTATTCCTACTAGGAAACAGCCGTGGACAGCTGCTGAAGGGAGAACTACAAACAATCCTCCTAAACCACCAAGTGTGCCAATCCAGAACAGATACGCTCCGCTGACCGAGAACCGGAGATCTCTTACTGATGACCTGGATAACCTGTCCTCTTCACACAGCAGGGTAAGGACCAATAGCTACTCCAAAAGTAAAAGGCTAGAGGGAAAGCTAACGCCTGGGCCTGAAACTCTGATTGTGGGTGACTCTGCTGTAAGAGATGTAAAAGGTCTGTGTAGTAAGAACAACACCAAAGTACTCTGTTTCCCCAAGGATATGGTCTCTGACTTGGCTGAGAAGATCCTGCATATTGGGGCTGAACATCCGACTGTGAAGAATGTGGTACTGCATATTGGAACAAATGATGTTGTGAAACAACAGTCAGAAATGCTGAAAGAAGACTTTAAATGTTGGAAACTGTCAGCTCTCTAAATGCGGAGGTGTTCATCAGTGGCCCTCTACCGCAAGTCAGAAGAGGAGTGGAGAGATTCAGCAGATTGTTTGCACTGAACAACTGGCTTTCAACTGCCTGTACTGACCATTCTGTCCATTTTATTGACAATTTTAACTTTTTCTGGGACCGCAGACATCTTTTTAAGGCAAATGGAGTTTGCCTGAACAAGTCAGGAGTGAAATTGTTTATCTCTAACATATTCAACTGCCTGCATCATCAATCTGTTCCCTCTGCCAAGGACAAGCGGCAAGAGGAATCAAAACAGGAGAAAGACACAACACATCGCGCAGAAAACCCTGAAGAAGTATCACTGCACCCGCCTGAGGAATGTTCTGATTATGGGAGACCTATGAGACACATGGAGGAGTCTCCACTGCCCGTCACCCCCCCTGTCAACGCCTTTGAGGATACTCTTCATTCATCCCCCAGCTCTCTCTACTCTCCGCTCACCCTTTCACCCTCGCCCACCCCCCTGGAGTTCGATTACCGCATGAAGGCGATACGCAGGCTTGGCAGCATGTCCTTTACCCCCGCCCCTCAACGACGCCCACCAAAATCACCAAAGCAGAGACGCGCACCATCTCCCCCGGCTTCATCACCATGCCTAACACAATCCAAACCAAAACAATACAAGGAAGATGGAAGCAGATTTCCAAACCCCCCTTTCTACAGTGTAGCCCTCACCCTGCCCTCCTATGATGAGAGGAGCAGGGTGGTGGGTCCTCCTTCCCCTTCAAAGCCTGTTAGGGATGTGTGTGTACAAAACGCTGCAAACTGATATCTGCTGGGTCCAGGCTCAAGGGCGTATGGCACTCTCAACTCTTTCCAGGACATGCCGGGGCCCTGCCTGCCTGTAGCTTTGCCGATATCTGTGTTGATAGGTAATAGATTAAGAGCGGTGAATCATCTTAGATACAGTAAGTGCTCAAACGTTTGTGTGGGTTTATCAAATTTAGCAGTGATTCCATGTCAGCCACAGCTTGTTACAAAAAACCTGACTGATAGTGTGTTTAACGAACTTAAACTAGCTTTATTAAATGTCAGGTCTTTGGCAGGAAAAACATTTTTAATCAATGATTTTATCACTGAGCACAATCTCGATTTTATGTTTTTAACAGAAACTTGGATTGAACAAAATAACAGTGCAGCTGTTCTTATCGAATCAACCCCTCCCAACTTTAGTTTTATGAGTAAGGAAAGAATGCATAAGAAAGGGGGTGGAGTTGCTATTCTGTTCAATGATTCCCTTCAATGCAGGAAGACATCTTATGGGAACTTTGCTTCTTTTGAATATGTAACCCTTCAGCTGAAATGCTCCTCTCGAGCTCTGTTCCTAAATATCTATAGACCACCCAAATACTGTGCAAGCTTTTTTGATGATTTTACCGAACTGCTGTCTATAGTGTGTATTGACTTTAACCGTCTAGTCATTGTTGGTGATTTTAACATCCATGTTGACAACCCCCAGGACAGAGGGGCAAAATAACTGTTTTGTGTTCTTGATAGCTATGGACTGACTCAGCATGTGATGGAGCCCACGCACAATAAGGGGCACACTCTGGACTTAATTATCTCAAAGGGTCTGAATATCTCTAAGGTTGTGGTGACTGATGTTGCACTCTCTGACCATTCCTGTGTTTTCTTTGAGAGCTCTATTTCTGTTCACAAAAATGTTAAAAAAGAGGTAACCACAAAGCGATATTTAACTGAAAATACTAGGGAAATGTTTACTCAGAATTTCTCTTCCACACTTGCCCCTGCTAACATCTCAGTAAATGAGCTAGTAGATCATTTTAATTAAAAAATGAAAAATGTTATAGATGCCATTGCTCCAACTAAGGTAAAGGAAGTGTCTGGCAAGAAAATGTCTCCATGGAGAAAGGCCATGACCGTGAAAACAGAAAAAAGAGAATGTCTAAAAGCTGAACGCAGGTGGCGAAAAACAAATCTCCAGGTTCACTTTGAAATCTATAAAGAGAGACTTGGCCTTTATAATTTGGAATTGAAAAACGCACGACAATCGTTCTTCTCTGACATCATTACCAAAAACAAAAACAACGCACGTGCCTTGTTTGCTACCGTCGACAGACTAACTAACCCCCCAGTGTCAGTAGCCTCTGAATTTCTATCCACCAGGGCGTGCAATGATTTTGCCTCCTTCTTCATTGACAAAATTCAGAAAATCTGACAAGCAGTCAGTGCCTCTGCATCAGGTACAGCAAATGTGTTGTCTCTGTGTCCACTTAAAATCAATTCAAACACCATGACACAATTCCATCAGATTAATGATAAAAACCTAGAAGACATTATACAACTTCTGAAATCCTCCTCCTGCTGCCTTGATATTATTCCAACAGGATTTTCCAAAGATGTTTTGCCTTGCATGGCCTCAGATCTGCTTCATATAGTAAACAAATCTCTTCACTCAGGTATTTTTCCACAGGCCCTGAAAACTGCAGTCATTAAACCGCTCTTAAAAAAGAATAATCTAGATGCTTCAGTAATGAACAATTACAGGCCCATATCAAACCTCCCATTTCTAGGTAAAATCATTGAAAAAGTTGTTTTTCAACAGTTGAGTAATTTCTTGCATTTAAATAACTGTTTTGATGTGTTCCAGTCAGGCTTTCGTCCAAACCACAGCACTGAGACTGCTCTTGTAAAGGTCTTCAATGACATCCACTTAAACACAGACAGTGGCAGAACTTCAGTGTTAGTATTATTAGATCTCAGTGCTGCGTTTGACACTGTTGACCACAACATATTACTAGACCGACTGGAAAACTGGGTTGGACTTTCGGAAACAGTTCTAAATTGGTTTGAATCCTACTTAAAGGACAGAAACAACTTTGTTTCTATAGGTAAATACACATCTGAGTTGACAAATATGACATGTGGGGTACCTCAAGGCTCCATCTTGGGGCCTCTTCTCTTTAACGTCTACATGCTACCACTGGCTCAGATAATGAAGAACAACAAAATAAGTTACCATAGCTATGCAGATGACACACAAATGTACGTAACAATTTCACCAGGAGACTATGCTCCAATTCAAACACTGAGTAAGTGCATTGAACAAATCAATGACTAGATGTGTCAGAACTTTCTCCAATTAAACAAAGATAAAACTGAGGTAATGATTTTTGGAGCCAAGGCAGAACGTATAAAAGTTAGCGCTGAGCTTCAGTCTGTAATGTTCAAAACAACAGATAAAGCCAGAAATCTAGGTGTAGTCATGGACTCTGACCTGAGTTTCAACAGTCACATTAAAACAGTTACTAAATCAGCCTACTATCACCTAAAGAACATATCTAGGATTAAAAGACTAATGTCACAGCAGGATTTGGAAAAACTTGTCCATGCTTTTATCTTCAGTAGACTCGACTACTGTAATGGTGTCTTCACAGGTCTCACTAAAAAATCTATTAGGAAGCTGCAGCTGATTCAGAACGCCGCTGCTCGAGTCCTCACTAACACTAAGAAAGTGGATCACATCACTCCTGTTCTGAAGTCTTTACACTGGCTTACTGTGTGTCAAAGAATAGATTTCAAAATACTGCTGCTGGTTTATAAAGCACTGAATGGTTTAGGGCCAAAATACATTTCTGACCTCCTGCTAAATTATGAACCATCCAGATCTCTCAGGTCTTCAGGGACTGGTCAGCTTTCTGTCCCCAGAGTCAGAACTAAACATGGTAAAGCAGCGTTCAGTTATTATGCTCCAAATATCTGGAACAAACTCCCAGAAACCTGCAGGTCCGCTGCAACTCTTACTACTTTTAAATCCAGGCTGAAGACTTTTCTTTTTGTCGCTGCTTTTAATTGAACTATTCATATCTTAGACTGCACTGTAACTTTTATCCATGTATTTTTTCTTTTAATGTTTATTTTATTATTTTTTCTTTTTAATTTTCGCTTTTCAAAAGAACGATGCAATACAACTGAGATCAGCTCAAAGAGAACTAAAGGGGAAATTTAAAGAAGCCCGAGAGCAACATAGTCTGAGTGTTCGAGAGGCTTTCTCAACCAAGAACTCAAAAGAACTGTGGGACTCTGTTAAATAAATTACAAATCTGAACTCCGGCAAGAGGGAGATGCATGTTCTGGATGAGCTTAACAAAGCAAATTAAGTTAACAACTTCTACAAACGTTTTGATATTAATTCTGCTTCTAACATTGATGCATGTAATAACTTGTCAACCTCTTTAACCTGTGACCCAATACACAATAGAAGAATAATAATTGATGATAGTGCTGTGGCCAGGGTTTTCAAACAACTGCATATTAAGAAGGCCAGTAGGCCAGACGGTATTTCGGCACTCCTGCTGAAAACGTTTGCAGACGAGCTGACCCCTGCCTGGAGTCCATTATTCCAGCTCTCTGCTGACTCGGGAAGCATCCCTCAAATATGGAAGAAAGCTGTCATCATACCAGTTGCAAAAAAAACATGCCCACATGACAACAACGACTTCAGACCAGTGGCTTTGACCTCAATAGTTATGAAGTCACTAGAACGGATTATTGTAGGGAACTTGCGAACTGAGGTGCAACACCTCTTGGACCCCTACCAGTTTGCGTACAGCGATGGTAGAGGTACAGATGTTGCTCTGACCTCTACAACTCACTTTATTCTAAAACACCTGGAAAATCCTTTAGCTCATGCTAGATTAATGTTCATGGACTTTAGCTCAGCTTTTAATACTATTCTTCCCCAAATTATGTTAAAGAAGCTCAAACAGATGGATGTGAACCCTTACTTAATCAGATGGTATCACTCCTTCCTAACTGAAAGACAGCAGCAGGTGAAAGTAAACTCGACCCTCTCTGACACACAGGTCATAAGCACAGGGGCACCACAAGGCTGCGTTAGCTCTCCTCTTCTCTTCACACTCTACACAAATGAGTGTAGGAGTCAGCGCACACACAACAACATTATAAAGTTTTCTGATGACACAGCCATACTTAGTCTACTGACTAGAGACTCAGACATTTCTATATATAAACTTGAGATTGAAGAGGTCGTGAAGTGGTGTGAGGCGCACAACCTGGTGTTACATTTTAAAAAAACAAAATAAATGATCTTTGACCCCAAGTCAGTAGGTGATCACAGCCCCGTCCTTATCAACAGGGAGGGAGTTGAGCAGGTTACACGTTTTAAATATTTGGGGATTTATTTTGATGCTCAGTTAGGCTGGGCCCATCAGGTGGATCAGGTATGCTCAAAGATAAGCCAGCGCCTGCATTTTCTGCGTAGGCTCAGGGTTCATGGAGTGGATACATGCATCATGTTAATGTTCTACAGGGCAGCAATTGAGTCTATTATTCGTTATGGCATCACAACATGGTTTGGTAACTTGTCAGTTAAATCTAAATCACAACTCCAGAGCTTGATAAAAAGGGCTGGAAAAATAATTGGCATGCTTCCACCATCCTCTCTTCAGGAGATATTTGAGGAGATGGTGAGAAAGCAAGGCCGTAAAATCACATGCGACCCCAAACACATCCTGTATAGAGAGTTTGAGTTGCTGCAGAAGGTATAGATTACCAAACTGTAAATTGAACAGGTATAAGTTTTCCTTTATTCCGCTGTCAATCAAGCTGCTGAACAGTCAGAAACAATTGTGATTATGCTGTGTTAGGAGTTGTTGGGAGGTGCAATGTTTACAGTGTAGTTTGTGCAATCGAGAAGGTTAAATAGGGGAAGTGCATTATGTGTAAATAGGTATGGACACAATAGGGATATGTGCAATTTGACGGACACTATGCATAGGTGCAATAGGGAAAGTGCAATATTGATTTGTGTATGAATACAATAGGGGAAAGTGCAATATTTGATTATGTATGAATGCAATAGGGAAAGTGCAATTTGATGATGTATGTGCAATAGGGATATGTGCAATAGGGAAAGTTCTGTACCTGTATGTTTCTTGTTTGTTTCTTTGCCATGTGATATGTAATCTCTGTTCTGTATCTATGACTGATTGACCTGAATGTTTTATGTGTATTATCTCGATGCCCAAGACAAATTTCTCCTAAGGGAGACAATAAAGCTCTATCTTATCTTAATGACTGATTTTAAATGCCATTTTCTTAATGTCTTTCATTTTTTGTAAAGCACTTTGAATTGCCTTGTGTTGAAAAGTGCTATATAAATAAACTTGCCTTGCCTTGCCTAAGTATCTAGGATAAAAAGATCAATGCGATTTTATTATTGGATTTTGGTATATTGGATTTTGGTGTAATAAAATAATAATAAAATAATAAAATAAATAATAAATAATAAAATAAGCTCTGTGGCAACGCATGACACGTTTGGTTCAGCAGGATTATCTCCACAAATAAACTACACTTCATGATTTTTGAAAAGGAAATGCAATCACCAGAAGTAAAAAGCTAACGTTAGCTTATAAACAAATGACATTACGGTTGCGTGACTGCGCATCAGCACCGCTAAGCTAAGGCAGACTGGTGTTGGCGTGATGGGATGGCGTTCAGTAGTGTTATTTAGTCACTTGTTAGTGAACGCTGTTTTTAATGACGCAAAGACGCTTCCGATATTCACAAGTGGGATATTTACTGTATATTGTATGTGGTGGAACAAAATATGAAAATCTCGTAACCTTATGTTAACCACAGACCTTAGTTCAGACTTCTAACAACAAACACATTTAAAAAAAAAAAAAAAAGCTGTCATCTAGACGAGGGGAACAGGAAGTGGTAAAATGCTAACTAATGCCCGGTTTTAGGACTCATTCCGGCCTAACTCTACAATCTACAGTCTGTATGTGGCTATATGGCTAAGTGGGGTAAAAGTGATAATCTGCCAATTATGGATTCACTGGTGCGATCCCGAACCCTGCAATCAACATGCCAAAGTGTCCTTGGGCAAGAGACACGGACGTTTAAGTGTATATAAGTCCCTTTGGATAAAGGCGTCAACTGAATAGCATGTAATGTTTTCCCTTGCTACTATCTCAAAACTGTTACTGGTAGTGGATGTGTATTTTGTTAATTGTATGTCTGTTGTAGTCATACTGTATATTCAGCATGTCTTGTAACAATACAGTGTCATCATTGCTCTCTTAAAAGTATCATCTGTAGTCTAAATGTACAAAATTATATGCCTTACCTTGGAAGAAAACACTCCTGCGGGGTTTGTTGCTTACTGTAAGGCCTTCACCGATGATGAGAAGGAAACAACAGAGTACCACAGGATGTCTCATCATGACCTATAGGCTGTAGTACAGTAGGTCAATAAAACTTACAATTTAGATCAGATTTCTGACTGGATATATTAACTCTCACAGCAATCATTTATCATAGCAGTGACTCAGCATGCAACAGAATTATGTAATAAGGACACACAAAAGGTGTGTTGGTGTATAGACTGCCTGAATATGCTTCATGAAAGGTAGGATTCCTTCTAAATAGAATCTCTGATCAGACGACACATTTGTTATAATAACTATCTTTATTATAGATAGATAGATAGATAGATAGATAGATAGATAGATAGATAGATAGATAGATAGATAGATAGATAGATAGATAGATAGATAGATAGATAGATAGATAGATATAGATATAGATAGATAGATAGATAGATAGATAGATAGATAGATAGATAGATAGATAGATAGATAGATAGATAGATAGATAGATAGATAGATAGATAGATAGATAGAATTGGAGGGATGAAACCCTCTTTAATGGACACACGTGCAGATCTTCCAGAGGTTGAAAAAGTACTCATATCCTATACTTAAGTAAAAGTAGAAGTACTAGATTCTAGGAATATGATAAACCCTATTACATACAGTAAAAGTCCTGCAGTCAAAAATGTGACTCAAGTAAAAGTACAAAAGTATCAGCATCAAAATATACTTAAAGTACCAAAAGTAACAGTAGTCATTGTGCAGATTGGTCCATTTCAGAATAATATGATATGTTTTATAATTATTGATAATTAAAGTGTTCTCAAAGCTGGTAAAGGTGCAGCTAGTTTTAATGACTTTGTATACTGCAGGGTAGCTTGTGAATTTACTCCAGGTGGAACTAAAGTCTGATTTAAGAGTTTATTATATTTCACATCATTCATCCAGATCTGTAAAGTAACTAAAGGTATCAAATACATGTTGTGGAGTAAATTGTAGTAAAGTAGAAGTACAAAGTAGCATAAAATGAGAATACTCAAGTAAAGTACGAGTATCTAAAAATTGTACTTGAGTAGGCCTACAGAGTAAATGTACTTAGTTACTGAACACCACTGGTTTCTTCTTTACTAAGGTTGCATTGTTCTATTGTCTCACATAATACTCTTATGTAAAAAAACTAGGGCCGGGACTTTAACGCGTTAATTAAGATGAATTAATTACACAAAAATTAACGCGTTAAAAAAATTAACGCATTTTAATCGCACTTATTTTTGCACCGCGGAACGTTTCTCACTGGATGAGTTTCAGGCGTACCGATTATACTGGAGCACCAACTAACGTTCATGACTTCAGACAACAACAAACCACAGTGAACAACAGTGGGAAATGTTGTTTTAAAAAACGGACGGATGGAAGCGTTGATAAGAGCACGGTTGTGTGCAAATTATGCAAAAAGGAATTCGCATATCACCGCAGCACATCAAGCCTCAAGTATCACCTCAATGCAAAACATATAGCAGCTAGCGTGGACGTTAGCCTCTTTTATCGCGTTCACACCAAAAAGAGCCGGTACTAAAATTAGTTAACCTTTTTACCCCCACGAAAGTCCCTGCTAGAGAGCAGAGAGCTGCTAGAGAGCAGGGACTTTCGTACGGCTCTCTTGTGAGAAAATAGCTATATTTCTGATTGGCTGGGCGGATTGCAAACCACGCCCCGTAAAACTCCCAAAAAGTTTTGTGAAGCCGCCATTTTATTATCCTCGCATTAGCATTATTAGCATTAGCCCAGCGCAGAAACGCAGAGAGACTAACTTATGGCAACACAAAATAAAACATGGGAGCGGTGGAGATGAGGAGGTGTCGGCGTTCTGGCGATTTACTCGGAAGGCTTCAGTAGAAGCTGCTGGGAGTCCCAGCAGCTTCTACTGAAGCCAGTCCCCAACTCCGGGGACTTCCGGCCGGGGACTTTGGGCGGCAGTATACGCCGTGAAGTGGTTTGCGGCCTGCCAGTAAACCCAAAGCTACGGTGGCCCTGAAGTGCAAGACACAACAGCATTTCACAAAACACTACAGCATTTCACAAAATGCCGCAGCATTTCACAAAATGCCGCAGCATTTCACAAAACACTACAGCATTTCACAAAACGCCACAGCGTTTCACAAAACGCCACAGCATTTCACAAAACGCCACAGCATTTCACAAAACACCACAGCATTTCACAAAACGCCGCAGCATTTCACAAAACGCCACAGCATTTCACAAAACACCACAGCATTTCACAAAACACCACAGCATTTCACAAAACGCCGCAGCATTTCACAAAACACCACAGCATTTCAGAAAACACCACAGCATTTCACAAAACACCACAGCATTTCACAAAACGCCGCAGCATTTCAGAAAACGCTGCAGCATTTCACAAAACGCCGCAGCATTTCAGAAAACACAACAGCATTTCAGAAAACGCCACAGCATTTCAGAAAACACCGCAGCATTTCAGAAAACACAACAGCATTTCAGAAAACACCACAGCATTTCAGAAAACACCACAGCATTTCATATTGGACGGAAAGGGTATTCCTTAGGGAGAACACTTCTTGTTTGTGATTGGACAGAGCCAGCCATAGAGGCACTGCTGTGATTGGTTGTTTTTGCTGCCAGTCAAGAAATGACGCTGCGTGATTGGCCCAACACATCAGCCGTTAGCTGTTAGCACACACTCAGAGCTCACAGCTCCTCATATCTGTTCAGAAACTGGACAAAAGTTAAACATGTACAAAACACAGACTGTCTATGTCATTTCGAATACAGTCGCTGCTTTATGTATGTCTGTATGACGTTGTTGTGAGTGTGGACGGAGCAGCTACAGGTTAGTTTAGCCTGATCGATCAATGGACAGCTTCCCCCCCCCCCCCCCCCATCTATATATATACTCGCATTTTAGACTCTGTTACTAACTGTATATCTGTAGACTTGGTATGTCTTAAATGTCCGGTTAGGATGTATTAGAACGAAATCTAAAATGAAAATTGTAAATAAGCAATCTGTATGTAAAAAACCACCTGTATGTAAATTGTAAATAAGCCATCTGTATGTCAAATATGTCTTATATGTCTTATATGACATGATGAATTGGAAATGGGGGACCCTGATGTAAACAAGACGAAAGTCTTTCTCTGGTCTGCATCCCCTTAACAATTGTATGTTTTGAGCTGTAGGCTACTGTACTGTACCCAATATACAAGCTGTTAATAAACTTTTCAATCAATCAATCAATCAATCCGATTCCGATAGGATTTACATGGAGATACTGCCCGCCCCCAGAATTAAACACAGAATTAATGCTTTATTAATTCATGGTTTTTAAGGGGCTTATCTCCATGTAAATACTATGGTAGACCACCCAATATTCGCATCGCTCTAATCGCTCGAGTTTCACCGCGGCTGTCAGCTGTGTTTGCTCCTGTCATTCAAACAAGAGGCGCTGGAGAAGTAAATTATATGGGAGATACCAACTACAACAAAATGAACATATTTGACCGTGATTTAATTGTAATACACGTTTCAAAGTGATGCCGAAGTAACTACATACTGATAACGGTTAGTAAAAACCATGAATTAACGCTTTGACAAGTCTGCAGATAAGACGGCAGGCGAAAAGCTTTTAAAATGCGTGTTTTCGGAATGGAATCGGATCCATCAGGCTAAACTAACCTGTTGCTGCTCCGTCCACACTCACAACAACGTCATACAGACATAAATAAAGCAGCGACTGTATTCGCCATGACATAGACAGTCTGTGGTTTGTACATGTTTAACTTGTGTCCAGTTTCTGAACAGATATGAGGAGCTGTGAGCTCTGAGTGTGTGCTAACGCCTGATGTGTTGGGACATATTTCGCTGTCGGGTGTTGACCAATCACGAAGCGTCATTTCTTGACTGGCAGCAAAAACAACCAATCACAGCAGTGCTTCTCTGGCTGGCTCTGTCCAATCACAAACAAGAAGTGTTCTCCCTAAAGGATTACCCTTTCCGTCCAATGTGAAATGCTGTGGTGTTTTCTGAAATGCTGTGGTGTTTTCTGAAATGCTGCGGTGTTTTCTGAAATGCTGCGGCGTTTTGTGAAATGCTGTTGTGTTTTGTGAAATGCTGTGGTGTTTTCTGAAATGCTGTTGTGTTTTCTGAAATGCTGTTGTGTTTTCTGAAATGCTGCGGCGTTTTGTGAAATGCTGTGGTGTTTTCTGAAATGCTGTAGTGTTTTGTGAAATGCTGTGGTGTTTTGTGAAATGCTGTGGTGTTTTCTGAAATGCTGTAGTGTTTTGTGAAATGCTGTGGTGTTTTGTGAAATGCTGTAGTGTTTTGTGAAATGCTGTGGTGTTTTCTGAAATGCTGTTGTGTTTTGTGAAATGCTGTGGTGTTTTCTGAAATGCTGTTGTGTTTTCTGAAATGCTGCGGCGTTTTGTGAAATGCTGTGGTGTTTTGTGAAATGCTGTGGTGTTTTCTGAAATGCTGTGGTGTTTTGTGAAATGCTGTTGTGTTTTCTGAAATGCTGTGGTGTTTTCTGAAATGCTGTTGTGTTTTCTGAAATGCTGTGGTGTTTTCTGAAATGCTGTTGTGTTTTGTGAAATGCTGTGGTGTTTTCTGAAATGCTGTGGTGTTTTCTGAAATGCTGTTGTGTTTTCTGAAATGCTGTTGTGTTTTGTGAAATGCTGTGGTGTTTTCTGAAATGCTGTTGTGTTTTCTGAAATGCTGTTGTGTTTTCTGAAATGCTGCGGCGTTTTGTGAAATGCTGTTGTGTTTTCTGAAATGCTGCGGCGTTTTGTGAAATGCTGTGGTGTTTTCTGAAATGCTGTTGTGTTTTGTGAAATGCTGTGGTGTTTTCTGAAATGCTGTAGTGTTTTCTGAAATGCTGTGGTGTCTTGCACTTCAGGGCCACCGTACAAAGCAGAAGAAGAAGAAGTGACGTCAGCGGCTTCATTTGCCTAATCCACCCCCAGGTTCAAAGAGTTCTCATGAACTAAGTTCTCATGAACCTTTGTGGGAAAAGTACTGCGGTGGGAATGCGCCTAATG